GGATTCCCCAACCAGCTATGTGCCATGTTCCCAACGTCGCCTCCTCGTCTCGAGAACGTGTAGTTTTCGCGCTCCAAGTAGAAAGTAACGACTTGCGGCGCGACGAGTGCGGCAAATTTTCACGGTGATTTTTTAGACCATTTAGGAGGTCCGGTCTCACCCTGTTTACTAAGCTACACGTGCGTTTGCATTCTGTATGAGTTTATTGTTCGGTAAGATGCGGAAACTTGTGATCCCAAAGTACTACGGTCGTCCTACTATCGGTTTGGCTTTGTTCGGTTGCGCAAATCGACCGTTCTATCACATCTGCGTATTTCCTGATAGAGCTCTAGGAAGAAGATACGAGAGCAACATCATTGAGCAGGTAATTATCAATAATCGCTCTGGAAGGAGGTTAATAGTGTAATAAACAGTTTGGGTTCTTATTTCAGCTTGGAACATTTGATCCATTACCTAATTCACGAAACGAGAAGCTTGTGTCGTTTAACTTTGGAAGACTGAAGTACTGGGTTGGAGAAAGGAACGCTCACATATCTGTTCCTGTTCTGGAACTTCTCGGTTTGTTCTTGGATTTTTCTCACCTGTGTCCTGTTTGAAGGTTGTCAGTAAAAAAATAAGTTCGTGCTATTAGGAATTTACGCAGATTTTTCTCACACTATTCTTGTTTTGTTGTCTTTGTTGCTTAGATTTAATCAATAGTGGGTTCAAGCCGGCAAAAGCGCCGTTTCATATTTTGCGATCAACGACAAGATTCTGGAACGTGTAGTGGGTGCGAGGAAAGGCAACATCTTTAGTAGCGCGCTTGATCTTCGCGTTGCTCTGCTCTAACGCGGTCCAAGCGATCGGGTCGCGAAGTATAAAAGTGCTCTTGAGTGAGGGAGCAGCTCAGAGTGCGTTCATATATGGCGATTTTTTCGCTCAATTTTGCGAATGACTTGATCGCGCGATGAGAGCGATGAACTCGCGAAGTATGAGCGCATTAAAAAAAACTCGGGCAAAACTGGGATGGAGGAATTGCGAAACCTTACACAAGTGAAACGTCGCGTTGCGGTTAGAGTCAAAGCGTCAGGTTCCACATATCAAAAAAATAACGCAGGGCCAAAAAAGTGGACAGCCGACATATTACGCTAGGATCTTCTGGTCATCAAACGATTATTCAAATCACATGTTTGGGATTCGGCTGAAATGTGGAGAAGGTGTCAGTCCATGTGGGAAGTGTCCGGTAAAGTTAGTATGGGGGTTCAGGTCTATTGAAAATCTATGGGTGGGCTTTCTTTGCTGGAATGCTGCGACATATTACTCGATTTCGCAGCTTATGCCTATATTTAGTTTATTTTATGCACAATGCTACGTACACTCCATGGGTATCCTAACTGTGTCAGGTCTTGCAGGTCTGTCTGGGTTGTTTCCTATTCATCCGAAGACTTTTGTTAGAGCCAGACACAACAGAGAGGCTACGACTACGGAAGTCAAGAAGAAATAGGAGAGGACAGTGCTGAGGCCTCAGAGGTTGGTTTTGATGCGCCTGGAAATGCTTTTACGTTCAGTCGATCGCTTTGCATAGGGTCATTCTGGAAAGCAGTCATAAGGGCATTTTTTCAACATGAAATGACAGCACTTATTTGATGGGCATTATTAAAACTTCCCGAGGACATCCCAGAGGGGATGAGAATTCAATCACATTCATCTCTTGAGTCAGTCGTGCTGCTGCTGCAGAAGTGGGGTAGTCATGCTGCCAACAAAAAAAAATATCACGACTTAGGTTTTAAATGTGTGCTTTTTGTGCTAAAGCGCACGTATAAGCCATTAGTTTTGATGGGGGATGCATAAAGTGGTCGTAACCATGCTCTTCCAACGGTTTCGTGTGATATTTGAGCGCTGTATTCGTGTAGCCGCTCTCTGGGATGGAATCGGGCTCTGTTGATTTACATTAATCCTCCCGTATGTGTACAAGTTGCAGCAGTTCCGCACCCACTAAAAGTGAGCCTTTTATGCCATTCCAAAGTGCGCGTCAATGAGCTAAGGAAGCAAAACCTGCGCGTGGAAACGAAAGCGCAGGAAACTTTCGATGGTCAAGAAGCTCTGACTAACAAAAAGAAACGTTTTCCTCCCAAAGAAGACATTAAGTGCAGGATAAGAAATGTGGGGCAAGTGTGGACTACACTCCCTTGAGAGTAGGACAGCTGCGTGGAATTCCGATCACTTCCCATATTCCCTGAGGAAGCTTTTGCGAGTAACTGTAAATTCTCGCTAATATGTGTTTTTTTCAGGCTTCTTCCTAGAGGAATTCGCTGCAAAATGTTAGTCTGCATCAGGCTTGTATTATTCGAAAGCACTCTATTGTTACTATTTATCTTTCTACGACTGACCATTTCTGATCGATGTTACAACAGCACGAAAATCAGCATTCGATCAAAATTTTAGAGCTTCTGATTCCTTGTATAGCATTATGGATACTTCACAGAAATGTGTGGAAAACTATGAAGAAACTTCACCGTTTGGTATTGCTTAAACATTTTTTAAAATTGTCAGCGTTTTTATGTGAGAACAAAATTTCAGACGCCGACCATGATTATCCTCCTTGTCCTACTGGTTTAGTTTCAGTTAGCGTCACTCCAGTTGTTCGAATTGATAACAACAATGTGTGAGTGTATTCAAGTTATAGTAGTAATTAGGGTGTTTTTGGATCCTTAGATATATGAAATGAACATTTTGGTCATAGAGCATGGTACCAGAGAGAAAAATCATTGAAAATGAATCGACTATGTTGAAAAATCAAATATGAGAATTATCTGGGGGGGGTGTGAAAGCAAAGAGATAACTCAGCTTCCGTTTCGCTCTTGCCCTGAGACGGATGCCGAGCGAAAACAGCTTCGGAGCAGATGAACCGGTTTCTTTGCGCGAAAAGAGTTTGACATGATGGCATCCCCTATTTTACGTAAAATGTCCTCTAAAGGACCCTTCCCCTTAGTTGACTCGCCCCTGAAGCGCTGCCTACTTCTTCAGTCTAACTCGTTCCAGGTTGCCTCACATAGAATTAAATATTTCTACCGTAATATACGATCATGTTGAATCTGTCACTATACGTCTACAATGTCTGCATGCTCCCGATGCCGAAGATATTTACTGTCATGATTCCACCCGAATGTTACGTGAAGGCAAATGGTTGTGGCCATGCAGAGCTATTGTCTTTCACGAGAAAGAACCTGTTTTGGTGAGTTGGTTTCTCCTATCTGTTAACAGGGTTATTGGGTATCTCAGACTTCACTTTTAGATTCCTTTTGCATTCGGATATTCATGCTTCCGGATGTTTGGCCTTTCACAGTACATTGTCAACGTTACCATTTTTCCTCAGCAGTGCAGGTACGCCCTTCGGGAATGTCACTAAAACACCCGTCCTACGCAACAAGGGGTGTGATAGCTCTTGTTACGGTAATTTTACTAGATATGATATATGGGACTGCCCCTGATTGGTGAGGACAAGTCACGAAATATCGCATTCCCTTCTTTTCTTCTTCGTCTCAGGAAGAGGCGGAGGAGAAGGAATGCGTTATCGGTTTAGTTTCTTAATCCCACCCTCCCTTAAATCCTGTGCACGGTTTTAAACAATTACCATTCAAGCGCATTACGGTGAAGGTTTCGGGCGTTTCCAGAAAAGTCAATTGAAAGTAGAGGGAGCAGATTTTTTGAAGGGTTTTGGGATTTTCGTTTTTACTCTTGATGAGGAAAGAGTCCCGAGGGGTAAGACTGGTTGTAGAAAGTCGTACTCAGTGAACCATGTAAGAAAAAGATCACTAGAATGCTCTCGCTGCGAGGGTCCAGGGGTTATTGAGGTATCTACCAGTCCAGTAGCTGAAGGAGAAGCTAAAGGTGAAGGGATCAGAGAAGGGAGGAAGGAGCAGAAGGAAGGAGGAAAAAATGGAAAGATAAGAGAGGCTTCCCGGTGACAAGGGCCCGGAGACGAAAAAGGGTTTCTTAAAGAGGAGAGGGTGTTTTTTAAAGAGGTTACCATGCTTTCTTTCTTTCTTTCTTTCTCTCTTTCCTTCTTTTTTGTTTCTTCTTTGCTCCTCTCTCTCATCTCTCTCCTCTTCTCTCTCCTCCTCTCCTCTCTGTCTCTGTAACGGCCCTCCTCTGCAGAGATACGAAAACGGAAGATTCTTGCCTTGAACTGGCGGTCAGTTTTCATTATCTCGTAGCACCACTCAAACGAAACATCACTTTGCTTCTCCTGTTACTCACTGATCACAACCGTGAATTCATTGCCATTTTCTTAAGATCGAGTCTGCTGGTCACTTCGCCAACAGATTCTCAGTTGTCTCCGGAAATAGCTGCATATTACTCAAATAAGGTGATCCTTTGTTAAGTATGTATTTGTTCCCAAAAAACTCAGAATTTCCATGACAGGACTTCTGAACTATCTTTTTTTCCAGAATAGTTCCAGTCCAGTCTGGTCACCTCTATTGATTGTTGATTTTGGTGATGAGGATGGGCTCTGGTTGCGTGTCGAAGGACCTTCATCAGTGCATGGTAATTGT